AGACGTTAACTAGGGTAATTCAACATAATGTAACTAAATCATTAGACGTTAACTAGGATAATTCAACATAATGTAACTAAATCATTAGACGTTAACTAGGGTAATTCAATATAATGTAACTAAATCATTAGACGTTAACTAGGGTAATTCAACATAATGTAACTAAATCATTAGACGTTAACTAGGATAATTCAACATAATGTAACTAAATCATTAGACGTTAACTAGGGTAATTCAACATAATGTAACTAAATCATTAGACGTTAACTAGGGTAATTCAACATAATGTAACTAAATCATTAGACGTTAACTAGGGTAATTCAACATAATGTAACCAACTAAATAATTAGACGTTAACTAGGGTAATTCAACATAATGTAACCAACTAAATCATTAGACGTTAACTAGGGTGATTCAACATAATGTTACTAAATCTTGACGTTAACTAGGGTAATTCAACATAATGTAACCAACTAAATCTTGACGTTAACTAGGATAATTCAACATAATGTAACTAAATCATTAGACGTTAATTAGGGTAATTCAACATAACGTAACCAACTAAATCATTAGACGTTAACTAGGGTAATTCAACATAATGTAACTAAATCATTAGACGTTAACTAGAGTAATTCAACAGAATGTAACTAAATAATTAAATGTTAGCTATAATAAATAAACATAATGGAAATATTAAGACGTTTTCCTTGAGAAATCCAAATTCATTAATTTACAAATTCTTGCATATTTAGGTATCAATCACTTACATATATCTTTGATTTCCTGTGCACCTAGTAGCCTCCAAATTCTCATGTATCAGTGAACCAATGATCTACAAGTATCCTCTAACTCCTCATGTATCAGTGAACCAATGATCTACAAGTATCCTCTAACTCCTCATGTATCAGTGAACCAATGATCTACAAGTATCCTCTAACTCCTCATGTATCAGTGAACCAATGACCTTTAAGTATTCTCTAACTCCTCATGTATCAGTGAACTAATGATCTACAAGTATCCTCTAACTCCTCATGCATCAGTGAACCAATGACCTTTAAGTATTCTCTAACTCCTCATGTATCAGTGAACCAATGATCTACAAGTATCCTCTAACTCCTCATGCATCAGTGAACCAATGACCTTTAAGTATTCTCAAACTCCTCATGTATCAGTGAACCAATGATCTACAAGTATCCTCTAACTCCTCATGTATCAGTGAACCAATGACCTTTAAGTATTCTCTAACTCCTCATGTATCAGTGAACCAATGATCTACAAGTATCCTCTAACTCCTCATGTATCAGTGAACCAATGATCTACAAGTATCCTCTAACTCCTCATGTATCAGTGAACCAATGATCTATAAGTATTCTCAAACTCCTCATGTATCAGTGAACCAATGATCTACAAGTATCCTCTAACTCCTCATGTATCAGTGAACCAATGATCTACAAGTATCCTCTAACTCCTCATGTATCAGTGAACCAATGATCTACAAGTATTCTCTAACTCCTCATGTATCAGTGAACCAATGATCTACAAGTATCCATTAGTTATTCGCGTATGAAGAATTCAATTGTTTTTCAAGAAAGTAGGGTCCTTGGAACTACCGCTATCCTTTAATTCCTGAAGTATTTAATGTAAATAACGACGTATCTAGAAGCTTGTTAGTAACAAAAACATCTTACTTGTTTTACCCACTCTCGGACGTCTTCAACAGTCCAAAGAGGGACTTGCTGGGACAACTTGTGGGGAACCTCTTCTCCAATAAGTTGGAGCGCCTGAGCAGCATACTTAGAAGCAATGGCGTTAGGAGAACTAGCAACCTTCTTCAGTGCCTCAACAGCTCCGATTTCGTGGAATATCTGACAAAGATGTTATCATTCTAAAAGTACCCCTGGTTACAAAATCAAACGTAAAAAAAAAACGAATGCCAAGCTCAGAAGAACGGATAAGACTACATTATTAGAGGTTAATACACTGTAGAGAAACATATTGTGGTCTGTTAGAGTGTTGAACTATGGCAATAAACAGACTAGTTTGTCATAGAGGGTGTTTCTGAACAATAATTCTAGTGTTAACTTAAGTGAGAATCCACCAACATATGTATTTATAGATTATCAACCCTAATACTGTAAGCTTTTTAGGTGTCATGAAATTGTTTGATTTAAATAAGGATTTTTAGCTCAGTTGAAACCTAAACTGTACAGAAAATTAGTCTTTTTTTGCCTGACATCTTGGATTTTATGGCCTGTCCTCGTGCACTCGACTTGGAATTTGCGGGTCGCGGTTTGGAATCCCGTCACCAAACATGCTTGTCCTTTCACTCTTTGAGGGCGTTATAATATGACGGTCATTCTCACTATTCGTTGGTAAAAGAGTTGGCAGTGGGAGGTGTTGACTAGCTGCCTTCCCTCTAGTCTACCACTTTACAATTAGGGACGGCTAGCGCAGATAAACCCTGATCAGTTTAGCGTGAGATTTAAGAAAAACAAACAAACAAACGGAACCTATTTTTTAGTTACTCTGGCAACTGTCTAGTCTTCTGCAGATAAAGTACTCAACTGTGACCGACTTAACCTATCATTATATGAATGTCAGCTTTAAAGATGTCTGCCAAACTAACAACACTTGTTTCAAAGGTGAACTCATACAAAGTGACAGAGTCCACAGATGGCACCGAATTGAAGTTAGTCCAATCATCAAACCACACAAAGTGCAGTAAAACTTACAATGGCAATAATAAATTAAAATTAAAAAAATATCAATATAAGTTAGTACAACAATAAATTTTGTCCAAACAATTTCAATATAAATGAAGGCAATGATAAATTTAATCCATATATAGAGTCCTGAGGCCTCTTACGACTGTTGGGGTATCTTAAATGCTGATGCATCATCGATAATTCTAGGGCAGAGTTTAATATAGCAGTGAAAGACTAGATTGAAGGAAGCTAGTCAACATCACCCACCACCAACTCTAGGGCTACATTTTATGTGATAAACTAGTTGGAAGGAAGCTAGTCAACATCACCCACCACCAACTCTAGGGCTACATTTTATGTGATAAACTAGATGGAAGGCAGCTAGTCAACATCACCCACCACCAACTCTAGGACTACATTTTATGTGATAAACTAGTTGGAAGGAAGCTAGTCAACATCACCCACCACCAATTCTAGGGCTACATTTTATGTGATAAACTATAGGGAAGGCAGTTAGTCAACATCACCTACCACCAATTCTAGGGCTACATTTTATGTGATAAACTAGAAAGAAGGAAGCTAGTCAACATCACCTACCACCAATTCTAGGGCTACATTTTATGTGATAAACTAGAAAGAAGGAAGCTAGTCAACACCACTTACTGCTAACACTTGGGCTATTCTTTTTACCAACAAATAGCGGGATTGACTGTCACATTGTAACACCCTCACGACTGAAAGAGTGAGCATGTTCAGCGACGTGGTATTCGAACCTGCAAGCCACAGATTGCGAGTCGAACGCCATAACCACCAGCCCACACCAATATATATATAAGTTTGGGCAGCACTAAGTTTAATTCATACAATTTCCATATTTATTAGGGCAACAATAAATAGTGGTTATTCAACTTTAATTCAATGTGAAAATGTTAACCAGTAAACATTACATTAAACTTCTAGCAAAGAAAATATAATCAATTTAGTAGCTTATGAAACATATCCTTTTCAATAGTGTTTTGCAGTTTTTGCCTTCACCAGTAGCAGTAATACTGATCTCAACAAGAAACTCAGAATAATATCCAAACTGAATCTTGTGACTTGTTGAAATAAATATTGGATCGGTCTAACTTTCTTTAGGCAGATTGTAAAAATAACAATTTGTTGTCTTACCGCTGTGTTTCCTTGTCGCTTCTTAATCCCAGCCTCCATGGCAAAGTGGAATGCTGCCAAACTTCTGGCTTCCTCTCTCTTGCTGTCCAGGACAGGAACCAGCCGAAGGAGCCAGTTTTTGGATTGCCCGTGGACATGAGACACTGTGCTGTTGGCAAACTCTTCAGGATTATGACTGGACACAAAAGGTTCAACAAGATCCAGTGTTCCGGATCGTAATACTGCGGCTTCGATTTCTTTGTTGGCTACCAAAGCTGTAATGGCCAAACAGGCATAATACTTGATATTGTCGTCATTGTTGAACGCTAAGGGGAACAACCAGACGGGGACTTTATGTCTGATCATAGCTTCCTGGTTCTCGGATCCCCCATATAATGACAAGTTAGCTAATGCAGTGGCACAATGACGGAGAGTTTCAACATCCGAATTTCTACAGTCGTATAAGATGGCTTTTAATCCCCCCATTCTTATGACATCACTACACGTGGTCACCGAGTGCTTAAAGAGGTGTTCAAGGATTCCCGTGCCAACACGGGAGTGAATAACCGAGTTTCTCATGCTGCAGGAGTAGGCCACGGAGACAACGCTGTCCAGACCTTTCTCTACCACGTATCCTCGGTTCTCGGTTGATAAACACTGCTCCAGAAGCTGAGCACTAGCGAACCGGAGTTCGTCGTTATCCGAAGAACAGTTGCTAATGAGTATATCCATCCCGCCGTTGTTCCTCAGGATATTGCACAAGTTAAACCCGAGTTCGTAGCCGTTAGTTGGAACAGCCCAGGCTTTCCTGATAATATCGTTCATTGTAGTTAGTAGCTGTACTGCTTCCTCGTCAGCAGCAGTTTTCAGCCTTTCAACACAAGCACTTATACGAGAACCAAATCTTGTCATAGCCTTCTCAACTTCTGGAGACGACGCTGGCGAGTTAAGAATCTCGATATCCTTTTCAAGGCCCTGGGTGAGGGCAAGATTAGGAGAGAAGCCGTTTATGTGAAACGGTCCTCCTTCATCAGGGAACGTGACGATGGGGCTCATAGTAACAGAGGATGAAATTCCTCCAAACCCTATTTGTTGCTTGTTTTGGCTGCTGCTGATAGCAGTGGACGATTTGAGGTTTTTACTAGTAAACATTAGCTTGGACGACGAGGAGGAGGATATGTTTCTTTGTTGTTGGATGGATGCTTGAGAGAACTCCTCCTGTTTGGACATGGCAATCTTTTCTGCAGTAAACCCGTCCGTTTTTAGCTTCATCGTGGAGGACAGTGCGGTCCGCTCTTGTTGCTGGATTGTCCCTTCAGTCTCCAGGTGGCTCTCTTCCTGTCGTAAAGCTATCGCCTTTTCAGAAGAAAATCCTTCGGTTTCTAAGTGAGCTTTAATGGCTTTTTCTTTGTAATTAATTTCTCCTGTCTGAAAGCTTTTCACTTCCTTGTTATTAGAAGTTTTGAAACCATCGGTTTGTAACTTCATCTTGGACGAAGAGGTCATTCTTTTCTGTTCGAACCTCATTTCCTGAGGAGAAGATTCCTTGGCCTCTCTCTTCTCCGACAAGATGTCGTCCATTGAGAGACCCCTCTGAGCAGTGAAGGTTTTCTTCCTAGACTCATTAGTGCTGCTGGCACTCTCCTCCGACAGGATGTCCTCCATTGAGAGACCCCTCTGAGCAGTCAGGGTTTTCTTCCTGGACTCACTGGTGCTGCTGGCACTACTAGCAACACTGGTAACACTGACGCTGCGATTAAAGTTACGATTGCCAACATACGATTCATTCTGCTGTTTTTGTTGTTGTTTCAGTTCTTGGTTAACAACCGAGTGGAGCAGCTGTGATTTCTTGCTGACCACAGAGCTAGATGTTGAAGATGAGGTGCTACTGCTCTTCAACATTTGGGCGGAGGAAGAATTAGCACTGAGCTTTTCCTTGCTCGTGAAGGCTGAACTCGAACTCAATTTTTCTGTGCTGCTAGCAAAAGAAGCTGTTGTACTGTTTATTGTGTTGAGGACTGTTGACTTCTGGTTAAAGTTTCCCACTAAAGAGGATACATTCCCGTTGGTCAACACTGCTTTTTGTTCGCTGCTTTCTGCAGGAAAATCAGACATCTGTAATGTACAATAAATATTGTTAATAAATCAACCACGTTTAATGATCAAAGTGAAAATTATAACTATTGAATATTGCAAAAATTCATTATTTAAGGAATTTAATTATTTGAACGCTCGATGGAATCAGAATGCACTTTTTGCCTGATATGCTTAAAGTGCTCTCTGAATGTAACATTACTGTACTCCGAAAAAAAAATTCCAATGATCCTAATAATGGTAGTAAACCTTATTTTACTATGGGACGTAAAAAAAACTGTGATTTTGAAGGGGATATAACAACCTCTAAAGTATTCATCCGCCAAAGGTAAAACAGATTTAAAATATATATACGAATCAATACAAATTAAATAAAAATTGGAGTTTCTGTGTCTTCTCTGGACACTCAAGAGAAGTCCATATGTTGAAACTGTACGCTAATTGAAGAAATCAGCTTTTTAGACATGGTCATTTTTATTTTCCATAAAGATATTTTACACGGTTATAATAAACGTAAAAAAATAATTCTTCAAACAAATCTGAGACAGGTAATTAAATACAAAGATAAGTCAAGACACTAGATCGTGTTGACTGATTTATTTGTAATTATCGTGTTTAATAACTGATAATTCGTGCTGGACCATTCCCAGTATGAGCAAGTCTAATTACTTTCTATAATCAATCTCAGCCCAATCTACCGTTGAAAATCCACCACGTGGCGTCAATGATATTGACAAAGATACTTTGTTGGAACATTTTATGAATCTACTTTAATTGACATATATAATAATATTGTTGCAACATTTCATGAATCTACTTTAATTGACATATATAATAATATTGTTGCAACATTTCATGAAACTACTTTAATTGACATATATAATAATATTGTTGCAACATTTCATGAAACTATAATTGGCATATTTAATAATAATATTGTTGCAACATTTC